GGTGTCCGTCGTCGTCGTCGTCGTGCATGGTCTGCGAATGTGAGAAAAGAAAAGGAAGGACGACGATACCTGCGGCTCGGTGAGGCGCTGGCCGGAGCGGAGGACGAGCCTGCCGAGGTCGGAGTACATGAAGTCGAAGACGAGGTAGATGCTGCGGTGCATCCGGGAGGTGGCGATGCCCTCCAGCTTCATCACGTTGGGGTGGTCCAGCCGCTGCAGGAACCGGATCTCCCTCGCCATGAACCGCACGCTCTCCGACTCCGACGTGTCGAACCGCACCTTCTTGAGCGCCACGATCCGCCCCGTCCTGCGCTCCCGCGCCTTGTACACGTTGCTGTACGTGCCCTGCCCGACCTTCTCGATCTTGTCGTACGCGTCCGCGCTCTTGGGCACGATGCCGTGCAGCGCCTCGCGGGGCACGTTATCCAGGAGCCACATCGGCCACCCGTCCACCAGCTCGTCGTCACGCCGCGGCGGGTGTGGCGGGAGCGGCGACGGGGTCATCGCCGGCGTTGCGGCCGACGACGACGCCTGCTGTGCCGCGGCGTCGGCGTCCGGCGTCTTCCCCGTGGGGACGACGGCGGCGCCGGGGGCGGCGGCTCGGCGGGCGTGTTCTTTGTGTGGCGGAGCCGGAGCGCGCTCGGCGGCGGCGGCGACCGGGAGCGGGAGCGGGTAGGAGAGGCGGGAGACGCTGGAACCGGGGTGGTAGGCGCTGTCGCGCTTCAGGCGGTCCACGCCGCGGCCGTCGCTGCGGGCGGGCGAGCCCCGTGAGGGCTTCCCCTGCGCGCAACCCATGCCGTCTCCGCCGCTGCCGCTGCTGTTCCCGCGACGGCGCCGGCGCCGGCCCAAGAGGAGGTGGAGCTGGAGGAAGGACACGGAGGGAGGCATGAACGAGGCGGGAACGGGCCCTCCAGGTCGCGCCAAGCTTATAACACTCGCTCGCCGCCCACGAGAATAATAGTATTACCAGCGGCCGGCCGGCGCAGGCCGGCTCGGCTCGCGAGCGCCGCACGGCGTCAGAGCGTGCGCTGCGCGCGCGAGCTGACGTCGACGTCGCTGCCTATACCAGCAGCCGTGTACGTGTACCTGCCTGCGACTTGCGTACGTTGCCGTGCATTGCCGCTGACCTGTCTGGCAATCTAGCCTCGTGTCGTGGCAAGGTCAGTGCACTAAAAGACCAGGCTGGTGCTCGGCCAGCACGGAAAAGGGCGGACGCTGCGGAGGCCATATGGCGGCGCCATGCAGCCATGCAGGCCAGGCCAGGGCTGGGCTCGGCGACGCATCAGCCTCGCGGCGTTCCCGAGGCTTGACGACGGGGTCCTACGGATGGAAACAGCAGTACCACAGGACCAGTCATTTTGCCCTTTTTCTTCATAGAATTACTCGGCCCTTATTTAGTTCTCACCCTAAAATTTTACACCATATCATATTAAATGTTTGAACACATTGAGTACTAAATATAGACTAAAAAAATTAATTACACAAATTGCGGTTAATTTGGGAGACGAATTTTTTAAGCCTAATTAGTCTATGATTTGACAATAAAGTACTACCGCAACACATGTGCTAATGACAGATTATTTAGCTTAATAAATTCGTGTCGCGGTCTAGTGACGACTTCTATAATTTATTTTTTTAATACTATCCAAATGGCTCATACAACATCCTCACGTAACACTTAACACCCTGTAACTTTGCATCTCCGAAACTAAACGAGGCCTCAGTAGCAGTTGCCTGCTATCCTGCTTATCCGTCAGTCGACGGGAAAAAAAAAATTGTCAGCAACTCTGCTGTCCCGTGGCTCCCGTGCAGCACCAAGTGCAGGCCGTCGATGTATCGTTCTGCGAGCACGCCCACGAGCCCTTTGGGACTAGAGACTGCACCTGCACCTGGCGATCACGTGCACAGTGCCCATGCTTCTGCTGCGTTTTCGGGCCACGGAAAGGAACTACGGAGTACCAGTAGTAGCCAGCAAGGCAATTATTGCTGTTTCTTTTGCGGTCGCCGTACGGATCACTTGTCTGATTTATAAGTCGTATTTTTTAGTTAATAAATAATATTTTTCTCAGACATCAAATTAGTCAATAGTACTTTCAGTTATGGTTTATCAGCCAAACAAACAGAGCGTATGATGGTGATCGATGATTAGCTTAACCATCAGTCACCTGAAACGGAGACAAACCTCTTCTTTATCACAGTACCCGTTGCATATATTACCAAGTAAGGAAAACGAAACGTACAGACACGCGTACACATATGAATACATACGCAAAGGATACAGGAGAGGAAGCTGCCCCGTCCAAACTACACAAAGGCCCTCAGCGAAAAAGAAAGTTATAAGAAAGTCCTTGAGAGCATTCGATTCCACCGGAGTCGCTGCCTTTCGTCAACTTTCGCCATCGACCATGTCGCTTGAGAAAGCTGAGACGAACAGCCCTCATTCGTAGGCCTAGGAGAGCACCATCGCCCAAAGGCTTTGAGAAGAGCTGCAATCAGCCCTAGCCCTGGGGGGTTCGAGCTGTGCCCACGCACAGGGCCCTTGAAGCCTAGGGGCCCAATCCCAGGTATGTAAGCTATAATTGGCTCATAGGAAATACCAAGCGCGTAAGAAAGGGTCCGTCGATTTCCCTTCCGTCGCACCCGCTCTCCTTCTGTGTCATCGCTGCGCCTTCGCTCCGCCGGCCGGCGTCGCCGTCGCCGATCTGGCTACTCCGTTCGCTCGCTCCGTAACTCCATTCCCAACCAAGCGAGTACGACACTACAACTATATGAGACGCCCTTACGTCCAGACGTGTTCAGGTAAAGTGCCATGCCCGATTGCCCCTGTTCCCTTAGTCCCTTTATTGATTGTTTAATCAATGTTTAATTTGTCTAATTGCCTTTGCCCCTTGTCGTTATTCTTCAGAATAGAATATATAAGACTCAGATTCTAATTTGGGATTGAGGAATCCCTAACAGTGCAGGGCAGTGAATAATTATTATCCTTGTTCTCCACTTGTCTCTCGCCAAAAAAAATACTTGGTACTTTACTAACACTCATTTTTATTTTAACGTTAAACCGAATCTAGTATTATTTCTAAATTTCCAGTGTCCTCGTGTTGCCAAAAGGCATGCATTTATATAGAAGTGAAAAAAGAAAAAAAATAGAGATGGATAGAATTTTTATGCATATTATTATAACTAAAATGAAGGTCTATCTTCCGAGCTTCGCTCCCGGCCTATAAATTGACAGCTGCAATGGCATCCCACAACGAACGGGAAGAACCCTAGCAAACATCGGCCAGGGACACACCCCGTGCAAACTCAGGCCTAGATCTGACCATCCCAGCGGAGACCAGGAGAAGAGGGAGCCCGACCGTCATACCTGTCCAACGCAAACCTGACAAAAACTTCACGCGGCGCCGCCAACACCATCACTCCTACCCTTTTGGCACAGCTAAGAAGCAGAAAGCTGGACTGCCAGATGGGCCAAAAAGAACGGAAGGAATATTGGCAGATGCTGGTGGAATTTGCGTTACGCAAGAACTTCTGGAAGGAACAACAGCTGACGATGCCTTGATGGCTGTCCTGTGTGCTGTCAGCGCTTCCCTAACGCTGTTTTTTGAGCAGTAGCCTCAAGTGTAGGTGCTCTAAACTTGTCATAGTGACTTAGAGAACCTATATATGATTGGAGAGAAAAGGTGGCCCATTCTTAAAAAGAAGGGGGGAGAGAAAATAAAAGTGAGACATGATAAAAGAAAAAAAGTGTCTTTACAAGCCATAAATAGTGATAGTTTGCATTACGTAAATAATAATCTTAACATTTTCTAGTCTATGTGGATCACTTTATTTGTACTAGAACCACTAAGAATGTTAGTGTCGTGGTGCCCTTAAATAGCAGCATAGACAAGTTGCCTTCGCAGGGCAGTTCGTCAGCCACTCGCAGCTGTTGCCACGGTGTTTTTGTGAGAGGGCCTGCAGCCGCTGCTTTTTTTTTTAGCGCAGCCGAACATTGTCCTATGAAATACTCTAAAAAAAATACACCTATGAGTTACACGCCAACGAAAATAGTTTACGTTTGACTAAATTTTTAGGTAATAGTTTTATAGTTATAGCTCCAAATTAATTTAATATAAAAATATATTTCATAATTAATCTAATTATATTTATTTGATATCATAAATATTTTTATTAATACTTTTTATCTATAATCGAGCTTAACATAACATACTTAAAAAAAAAAGGACACTATGCTTCTTTTATGGGACGGAGGCACGGAGCCACACGGAGAGAGAGTATATATACTCTCTGCTGTAGTAGAATAGTGATACGAACAAGCACCGACTTGGAGAGGCTGTTCAAGTCGGTGATAGAGAGCTGAGTTCCATTCAAAATCTTTTCCTTGTTTAAAAGAAACGAGCAAGGCATCAATCACACTCTTCTAGTCACCATTTCACTCTTATGAATCAGTGTTATAGCTAGGAAAACCTATAGGGCCGACTGTCACTTCATCATAGCATTGAAGGAAAAATCCCAGACAACGGGAGTAATATGGTAGAAGGACGGGCCTGGTGTAAGCGGTAGAGTTTTGCCTGTGACCGGAAGGTCCCGGGTTCGAGTCGTGGTCTCCTTGCATTACATAGACGAGGGTAAGACTTGCCACTAACACCCTTCTCCAGACCCTGAATAGAGCGGGAGCTCTCTGCAATTGGTACGTCCTTTAACAGGATTAACATGGTACCGTCATGCGTCACCTCTAGTAAAATTTGACAGATTACAAAACCATCCGCAGGTGAAACTATGAAGATAACGTATGCCTGGGGGTATAATCCAATTTCACATCAGAATCCTGTAGGGATAACCAATTATCTTGCCAAGAATCCCAGAAGAATATATCACCTTCATCTTCCGCTAGCACCACCGATGTATGCCGAGAGGTCAAGCACCAGAACTCCAGCGACTCTGCCCCTTCGAGGTTAGCTCAAGCTGAACGACGCCAGCCTCCGCCCCACAGTGGTATTTCACAATCCAATTTCTTTACACAAGGAACCGATGTTAGGGATTATTCCACTCCCAGAGTTTCTAATGATGGCATCACCTGCAAAATCCTTCAGCAGGGATGATGGGTCCTTTGACCCGCCGAACCGCAAGAATTTGTCCCTGATGGCACTGCCTGCACTGCGGGACAATGGGTCTTCTTGGCATACTTCTTGCCATATAGTTGTGGCAAAACATCTAGCATAGAGATAGCTATAGTAGCCTGCAATGGTGTAATATAATTGATGTAGCTATATGTCTGCGAGGAATGAAGAATGATGCAATTCACGGACTAGAGGACAGCTCAAATGCTTACCAGCACCATAGGTTATGAGATGAGTAAATCGAGTATGCCAGTGTGTGCCTTCTGCGTATTTCCAACTTGTATGTTTCCTTCTCAAATCGGCAACAGTGGAAATCGTGTCCATAGGCTTGGATGCTTGCTCCCCAAACAAGGTTAGGTCCATTATAGAGTAGAAGATCTGGGAAGGGGAGCATAACAGCACTAAGTGAAACAAGAAATAGGATACGCCAACTGTTCCTATTTCCTAGTGGTGTAAGAACTGCAAAGAAAAACGTACCTGCCTCTGGAGCTCAGTAGCAGGAAACATATTCCGAGAAGCATTTAGTGCCTTTACCAGCTTTTCTGGTATTGCATCTCCAGTTGTTTCATCTAGAGCAAATGTCTTCAAGACACGATAGTCCCAGGCATAATATCTGTAAATGTGACAAAACTCAACTCAACTGGGTTGACAATAAAAAAGATCATATTTGGATTAGCCAAAATAAGATGTGCTACAGAATAAATTGTCATCTTAAGTAAAAACTAAAAACTTGTACATACTCAAACAGGTTTGAGGGGGGTTTCAGCGACATCAAGAGCAACCCTAGTACCAGAGAAATGCTGATATTCCTGCAAATATAATATACTACCAGGTAACTAGAGTAAAGGTAATAGCAGAACTAATATATTAAGAAGAACAAGCAAAATACCGTTCTTGACAGCAGAGAATGAAGGGCATGCCCAAACTCATGAAAAAGAGTTTCAACATCTCCATGGTTAAGCCTTGCAGTTATTCCACAAGCACCTGAGAAGTTGCATACTAAGGCGATGATCTGAAAAGTGAGCATGGAGTCCATAGGTTAAAAGACCAAATGAAGCAACTTCGTGAAATTGTACTAGAGCAATATTCTATGATATATCTATCTGATTTTTACTTTACTTAATGTCGTTCAATATAATGTATGAGCATAAAGTTATGCAGATGGAGCCATAACCTGTAAAAGTTGATCCACACAGATGTTTAGGCTTATAAGCTGTGTAAAATAACTACCAAGCAAACTATTGATGCTTTTAGCTACCATTTCCTTTTATGGAAAGCCTTGATCTTGATAGAAGAACTTTGCATATTGTCCAGCAACATGGAATGAATAATGAACAAGAGAATACATACCGGCAGTTGGTAGTTTGAGTCTGATAATCTCCACCCCCCTTGGACAGCAAAATGAGCGCATCCTGGATGTTTACCCTTTCTGGAGTAGAGGTCAAGATACATGAATCCTAAATCACCCTGTTCATGAGACATCATAGCCTTTAGTTATTTTCGGCCCAGCAAACATTAGAATAGGTAAGAAAAGAAGGTAGTACACTGTCCAAGTAGTAGTAAAGGGGATCCTTGATTAGATTTCCCCTAAGCATTTAATATTTTATGAAATTTGCATGATTACAAACAACAAGAACTGACAATAAAACATATAATATTACTAGATAATGGTCTCCATCATCATCAAGATAGCACAGTGTAAACCATCACTATCAAGCAGTCTAATTTTAACCGTGAAGTTGGGAACCATCAACTTAGCCCAGATGAACACAAACAGGGCAAGACACATTGTAAAGGATGGTCATTCGAGCCACCGAGTACGTGTTTAGCCTTAATTTACGATTTGTCATTTCAGTTTTGATAATGAATAGCAGAAAACCATGGTGATGATGGTAACATCTGCATATTTCCAAGAACTGCAGCTCAAAATTACAGATTTTATCTTATTATACATAAGTTGGGCACATACACAAATAACCAAAGCAGAGAAGCTGAAAGTATTTATTCTGTGTTTGTTGTAGAATTATCATTAAAAAGCATGCTTGACACGATTGTACCTCATCGGGATGATGGAGACAGAGCTTTATCACATCTGGATGCCATGACTCCCCATCCCTCGTAGGAATTTGATGAAATGTTGCACCAAATAATGATTCAACCAGAACATTTAGCCCTTTTAGGCACTGCGACAAGGGAAAGTATTTTGCAATGACCTGATAGATACCAAACAACGGGGGGTCAATGACTTATCCTACAAAAGGGTAAGGATTATATATATGTCAAACCAGAGTTTAACATTAGCTTTAGATACAGTTATTTCATCTCGGAGATGCTTCTCAGTTTAGCACATACTGAAGCGTCCAGGTCATATACAGATGATTTCATCATTCCAATGAAGTAATCCTCATCCCAGGGTTCTAGATTAGCGCTCTTTTCATTACATGTCCTTCTCTTGAAATTCTGTATGATCTTAAATTCCTGCATGAGAGATGTTATCAAGAGAGAGATGGATCATAGAATTTAATGATGAATTTCAACAGACAGAACACCGCAATGCATATTGCCAAAATATGATCCATTCAAACCTCTTCAGCTTTATACTTAACAATGTTGCTCAAATCTTCAAGAAATGACATAACCACATCAGCTGATGCAGCCATGTTAGGACGAATAGCAAATTCAGCATATGATTTGCATCCCATAATCTGTAAGGCCATGAACAGGGGGAAACTATGTTACTCATTATTTAGGGCAGTTGTGCACCACGAGTTACAGTTAAGATCAATGTCAATGCTATGATTTGAATAATACAACCAATAAACTTCATAGAACGAAGAAGACGCATTACCTTTGCAAGTTCATCACGAGCATGTATAAGTTCATTGAGGACGCCAATATTTTCATGAGGTTCAGAGTTCCCAACAATATATACCTGTTTTCTGACCTTTGGAAATTTTAAATAGTTAGATTTCCACCGGCACTAGATTGATAGTATGCAACCGTACTCATTGAATCAATCAAGAGGAAAAGTTAGTGGTGACATAAGAAATACAAGAATTGTTCGATGCTATAGACATCTTTATCCAAGTTACAAAGTTTGGTTCTATGAATATTAAGAAAACTTACTTTCTCATCAGAAATCCATCTTAGTGCTGATGATAGATTTCCTGATTCTGTTACAATCCTTAGGCCTTTTTGCTTTTCAGTGTTCATCTGTTTGCTAGTATTAAAACGGGAAACAGACTTGAAAAGACGCTGCATATTCCTTGGAATCCGTGAAGCTGGATACACATCCACAAAACCTGGTTTGTTCATTACATTTTCATTGAACCTGGCACAGACAAAAAAAAAGTATACACTATCACCAAAAGGCAGTATCAATCGACACTCTCAGCATAAATTCTGAAGCAACTAGTCAATTCACTAAAATGAGGCATTGCACAGCGAAGGGAAAGCAACAGGATCCACGGAGAGATGTAGTCAAACTGTCCATAAAAGTTTCTAGTAAAACAAACAGAGTTCCACTCCACAGCTTAGAGGGCTATTTGGCTGACAATGGGATCAACTAGTTGCATGCATAATAGGTGCACAATGGAGCAAAATAATTTAAAGTCAACCAACACCATTTTTTTCACTTTTCAGCAGTAAATGAAAAATATCAAAGGCAATCATCAAAAAAAAATTGAATAAATGCAATAACTCAACACAAATACTCTTTAACCTCAAAATATGCAATGCATGCAACCTAATTGCTTTATTACGAACATCAAGACTACTGGGCATATAGAAAAAAAAATCCCAATACCTTTAAGCACTGAAAGAATAAGAATCAACTAGTAAGCCATTCCAAACATCTCAGTTATCTTTCATCATTTAGCAGAACTGGCAAACAAGCAAGCAGAAATCTATTCTTCAAGACAGAAGAGACTCTAGGGCTTGTGCAAACATCAAGAATGGAACATATATAGCTTACCAAAAAGCCATGTCATTAAGTGATGAAATTACTTGCCAATAGATAGCTTGAAAACATGCGACTAAAAATACAGATTACAAAGCAGTTCAGCAGCAAAGATGGCAACGACTATATACAGAAATGGTCCAATTAATATATTTTTTTTTTGAGGTAATAGCCAACTTTTATAGAAAGCAAAAGGAAAGTGTCCAATTAATGTACCTACTTTCTACCCAGCTGGGCAATCTCAAGGTTCAGCTGATTAGCATTCTCAAGTTTATCTGCCAAAAAGGAGAACTATGATTTACTTTAACAGTCAAATGTCATTAGTAAAGAAAAAGAAATATAAAGTTCAGTTGTGCAACCTTTAGGAAGATGTATCCCTCCTTTTTCAAAGTCAATGCGCAAGGTAGTTGCTGCTCTTCGAGCTTCCTCTGTGAGCAGGACACTTTCACCTTCAGCTTTCAGTATAGCATTGTACAAAGTAGTGTTTGTATTCAGGTACTGCAGCGTGTTACAGAAATCAAAATGTTACTATAAATTGATCAAGTGATTTGATTTCACATCTTTTGCAATTAGCTAAAGGATGGCAAGGTTTCACAAAAGTGTTTGACAACCTATCATAATACTTTACGATCACTATACTATGCAGACATGTTGATTGTTTAAGCCATTATTACAGATAACAGTCCAAGTCCATATCAAGCAATGTTCGATGTCAAGCTCACCTGAAGATGCTCATAAATCCTCATTGATGCCTTATCTGCCTCCTCCACAAACTCCCTAGCACACAAGTATATCTCCAATTCACAAACAAGAAGACACATTGCCACCCAGCACCCAAATTGCATGAGAAGCACAAACTCACCTATCAGGGTGTGTATTCCTGCACAGCTCGGCCGAATCAATGACAGAACAAACCTAACAACACCATCAAGACATAGACACATCAGCTAAGCGCCTACTCCTACGCTGCATCAACTCAAACAGATTGATTCAAAAAGGGACATTCAAACAACACTAGCAAAGGAGGATGTAGATTACTGTATTGGAAATCTCGTCCATGGTCCGCACTATCTCGGGGGACGACGGCAGCCGCGCGACGCGTGCCACGAGCTCGTCCGACCTGCGAGTTGGAGCAAGCTTTCACTGAGGTTTAGCAGCCCATAATTTGATAGAGGCGTGATAGCACTGGGTGAGTGGTGTCGGCCTTCAGGCTTCCCCCTTTACCGCTGGATGGCGTCGTCCACGAAGCGGCGGAACCCCTTCGCCGTGCGCAGCACGTCGAAGCCGTATAGCCCCGTCTCCGGCTTCTCCGAGACTGTGGAGAACGCCGCCGCAGCGCCGCGACGGATGGCGGCGGCACGCGAGAGCATTGCGGCGGGCGCTCAGTTGGTCAGCTTTGAGGGCTACTTTAAAGCTTCCGTGTTGGGTCTCCCTCTGCTTGTAGTTGATATACCCTCGCGATTTGTGTCGACGGCGTTGTGCTGCTCGCTCGGCTTCCGTCTCCGCCGCCGCTCGCCGGAGCTCGGGAGCGACAGAAAGTGGGATGGGGAGGCGAGCCGTGGAAGTCACTGCAAAATGAAAGGGGTTCGAGGGTGCTTACGCAAAAGACCCCTTCGCCGTTTCCTTTTGCTCAATCAAGGCCGCCTATGGTTGATCGAGCGGTCAACGATAGCTCCAGTTTGGATGGCGATTATTCATCGGGATACAAATTCTGAGGGCATAGACGGAAACAAAGAATAGTTTGAGGGCCTCCTACAGAAACGTCCTCCAGTTCCCTAACGCTCTTCGATATGGGCCGCATAAAGCCGCATCGGACGGCCAACAAAAAAGACCTAACCGGGCTGACATAAAAAACACGGTTAGCTGGAGCCTGGAGCTCCTCGCCGTCGCTTGCCGGAGCAGAGCGCTGCCGTTAGCCGGACGGCAGCTGACAGCTCTCTCCTCCTCCCTGGCATCCTACACCTCCTGTATACTTTTCTGGCTGCTCGCCGGATACCTCATCATCGGCATTCTGCAGTCTCAGCCACCTGAGGACACTCACCTCCACTGGAGCTCTCACTGTAGTGGCTGCTTCGAGTTCCATATGGAAGTGGACAAGTGGTTCAGTAATGATCTGTAGTGGTGAGTAGTAATGATGAAGCACATATACAGTACATAACAACTAGCAAGAACCTTTTTCATCAAAAAAAACTAGCAGGAACCTTTCATCTAATTGTGCAGAGTCTAATACAAAGACCATGATGAAACCAATAAGAAATTCTGATTCAGATACCCCACTCTACTGGCTGACCATATCAAATACACAGCAAAACAAATTCTGATTTAGATACACCAGTCTACTGGCTGACCACATCAATACACAGCAAAACAAATGTTGATTGTGTTGTCTCGGAATACATACAGCCTAGCATCACCATCTCAGAACATTGTAGGTGCAAATCATCTACCGCGGGATAAGACAAGAGTTGTCCACTGCAGCGTGCTAGACTTTATGCCAATACAGACCACAAAGCCAGGAACAAGCTCATCAATCCTGGGAAACCGACTGACAGAGTGCGATGACCGGCGTTGCTGCCACTGCCACTGCCACCACCTGAGGGTGAACCTGCAAGTACAGTTTGTGAGGCCGAAATTGTATTGTATAGGTGCCGTTTGGAAAGGTTTATTCAAGGTCTCTTCCTGTTTGAGATGAAGTTGCAGTTGACATATGATGTGAGCTAATTCAGTTAAAGAAGTTTAGTTAATAGTTCCATTTAAACAGTCAGATGTACAATTTCCTTTTGGTGTGTGGGTGGGTGGGGTGCGCTGAACCACTGCTTCGAACTTCAAAGTTAAGAGCTGGAACAACAAACGATACTTACTACAAGGATTTAGGCTAGATAGTTCATGGAAAATTAGCAAGTTTGGTGACTAGCATGTAAAAGCAACACCACTAAAACACTGCGAGCATCACCCTGTTAGGCAGGCCCAACAGATTGTTTATAGTTTCATTTTAGAACAACTGTTCATGTGAAGCAGTGTTGGGCCACCATCAATTACGATGAAATTATACTCCTGACATAGTGCTCGACTGATCTCTGCGGAGTAGTTGTTTGGTAGCAATCCTATCACCACTATTAAGCATGCGAAAATTCCTACTTTGTACTGCATTTATTATCTGTTTCAGTAGCTGGTGGCTTCTGCCAATAACTGGTTTTCCAAATGGGTATCACATACAGAAGCGATCCAATCTGCAAATGAATGCACTGCATTGTTGGCAATAGTAATCCTTGGGACCATGCCTAACCATACAGAAACTTTAAGCGTGCTAGTGCAATCGCTGTGCTCTCACTTGGTTAGGAGTAGATTTGGATGCGCTTCATCCTTTGCTAAGTAACATAATCTCTGAAAAGTTTCTGACTCAATATATATGACTTGAATCAATTTTCCCTACAATCACACTTGAAATTTAAACACATGAATTTTCTATTTGGTAATGGAGGAAGTTCCAGTTAGCAAGATATCACACAACAAAGTGTTGTAACCAAGCAAAGCAAGGGGAAGAGCACTATAGTTTACCTGGAGGAGACTGTGTAGGAGAAAGGCCTGTAAAATAAAAGTTTAAAGACATTTATCAGAAAACAAAAGATATACATCAAATTTATTTGAAGAAAAACTGTGTGCAGCTAATGTAGAATAAAAGTGGAACACCTGGATAGATACAGCACACCTAATACCATTATGTCAAAGTGCAAGGTTTGGGGTTTCGCTTTGTGGCTTTCAGAGTAGAATTTCTGAACCCCTATGAAGTTCAACCCACAGTACGAAAATCCTAATCAGAACCAAGGGTCTACTACATCGTGTCATACACTGACACTACATATTTTCTGAATGGGCTTGTAAATATTATCCTAGATTTCTACTGCCAATACTGGACTGAGAGCATGAGGTCCTGGTATTTTTTTAATGGAAGACAAGCTGTCACACAGCTAGATTAAACTAAGCTCATGCTCATCACGGGTCAGACTGAGGAAACATACACAGCAGCTGTAATTTTAATGGTTCTGAGCCTTTAATCAACACCGACCATGGATCTCATTTCAATGTTCGCATCTAGTACTAGATGTTTCCCCCTAGTTGCCATTGACCTGATAGAGATGGCAACGTACCCAACTTGCCTACGCCAGTAGCAACTAACGCGGAAACGTAAGTCACGGGCCCTCTGCACACTTTTCCCGGCCTTGTGTTGCTGGCTTGCTGCTTGTTGCTTAATCACTTAGGCTATCTCCGACAAAACACATAAAATACCAGACCTATTCGTCCTTTATTCGTCCTTTAGTCCTTTAGGTAGCGCTCCAGCCAAAAGATTCAATACATGTTCGACATTTTCTCCAACAACAAGACGCAAAAGAGAATCCTTTCTACAAATTGGTTTACAAGAGAGAGGATGTCCACATTTGAATTATGCCTCGCAGACAACCCAAAATAGATCTCCCGTATAGGTCCCCTTTCCCGTATAGGCTGATTTTGGGTATCTGGCTAACCATTTTGTGTTTGGGTGCCATATGGGTTCGTTGTTGGAGACGGTCTTAGCTGATGCCTACTTTGTGCAGATCGATCACTGAGCATGACAGTTTAATCGCTAAAGATGCTTGCTTTACCTACTTTTGCATCTGGTCGCTATTAATCAGATGCTGGAAAATCCCACCTGGAAGATAAAAGGAAGAACATTCATTTACTGCGCTGAAAATGAAAGTAGAATTACCCTTGCAGGCGGCGGTGGTGTCGTTGAGGCCGCAGCGCTTGGAGAGGCCGAGGGCCGCGTCGAGGCTGATGTTGAAGGCCTTGAAGATCTCCGGCGTGGCGTAGAGATCGCAGAGGCACTTGAGGTCGTTCTGGACGGCGTCCTTGAGCGGGCCGCAGCAGGTGTCCGGCGGCGTCCCCGTCGTGTTGATGTACTGCGAGCACGGGACCAGCTTCGCCGCGCAGTTCGGCGTGGTCTGCGCCGCCGCTCGGGGCGCCAGCACGCCCATCACAGCCACCAACGCCACTGCGGCCGCCGCCGCCATCCGCATCGCCATCTCTCTCTCTCTCTCTCTCTCTCTCTCTCTCTTCTGTGGAGCGTGGACACTGGACGGTGGACAGACTCCCTCTCCTCTCCTCTCTGCTGCAGTGTTGCTGCTCGCTTCCCTCTCTCTTCGGGGAGGAGAGAGCAGAGGAAGCCAGGAAAGGTCGTGCCCTTTTTTACAAGTGAGAAGTGCTGACTCTGGGCGGTAGGTGTGCTTTGGACGGTTTTGCTTTTGGAGAGACTGGTCAGATGTGTATATGCTTACTTTTCATTCTCATTTGAGTTAAATACATCTTAGGTTTTTGAACTTGTCTTGAGATATCACTTAGTTCCAGACTCTTAAATTATACTTCTGGCATCCTAATATTGTTTAAGTATGCCACTTAGATCCATAACTCATCGGAAGCAAGGTTTTGGCCGACGTGACGTGGACAGCGTGGCGCTCACTGGGTCCAAGCGCAAGTGAGCCACGCGCGAGCCTGGTTTGGGACGTGCAAATAAGTAGAGAGGCCACCCAGTTCTCTTGTTCTCCTCCATTTCCCCTCCTCTTACTTTTCCCTTCTCTAGCTCTGTCTCTCTGCCCGAACTCACTCTCCAAGCCGCTGCCGCCACCTTGTCGATCTACTCCATGGCGCCACCAGGGAGCATGTCGTGCTCCAATAGGCGTGCGGGCGACCTTCCCCTTATCCTGTGCACCGAATGCGGCGGTTGAATGGTGGTGAGGCGCGTTTCCACACAGCCATGGAGTGCAGGGAAGGTTTTCTACTGTTGCCCAGACCATAAGGTGAGTTAGGGTTTGATGATTCAAATCTTTGGCACTTGGATTGTTGTGTCCTTATTGCAATTGAGTTGGATTTGGTTATTTTGGCAGAGGGATGGCAACAGGTGTCCATTTTTCTACTGGGAAGCAGACTACATCAAGCACATCTTAAAGATGCTGAAGGAAGGCGGCAATGGCACATGTGAAGCCCAGTCCGAAGGAGAATCAAATACGTCCCTATGCTGGCCTGATGGACAATGCAGTGGCCAACAAAGCTCAAGGAAGTCAAGGGAAGGACCAAGACGTAGTTCGTTTGCTGAATGTGATATGTGTTCTCTGTGTGTGTATAGTGTTGGCACTTGTGTTAGTTGTGGTTGTTCAGTTGTGCAAATAAACTTAGTGACAACTGTGTAAAAGTACTCATTATGTAATGTGAACATCAGAAGCAATGGAAACCATCCTTTTTATCTCAATTTTCCATCTATTTCATAGTTCACCTGATAGCAGTAATAGCATCCATGTGCACATACACTGTTTTGGTCAATGATTCATGCGATGATCTAAACAAAAGACTATTGCCACCATCTCAAACATTGTTCTAGGGCCATGATAAGCTTTACAAAAGATTGTACAGCATAATCTAAAGCCTTATGCCGGTGCTAAACAAAAGCATAGAAGGACTACACAAAAGCACAAAAGGACTTGTCATCTTCTACTACTGGTCTATAGACTTTGGACATCAGATCTTCTTCTTCTTAGGGTCTCCTCCCTTCTTCTGCTGACCTTTGGACTTGTCACCCTACTTGGCACTTCTCTTATATGTTGTTGCCCTCCCCAGCTTTGTTGTAGTTGTAGGTGGCAGTGGTCTTATGGTTGGCAGGTTTGTTCTAATAAATGCAGAGGCTGGCATGGGTTCCTGTTGCCTCACCATGCTGCTGGTCTGTGAAGACTGAAAGAAAACAAGTGTTTGTTAAATATGACAATAGTAGTTGTTAAAGCATAGTGTCCTACCTCTTCTTCTAGCTATGAAAGCATAGTGTTTGTTAACTGTGACTGTAGTGGTGTGTTGGTTTCTGGAAAATGAATGGCAACCTATAAGCATAGACAGTTAGCTGTGCAAGCATAGTGTAAAATTGGTGTATTGTGAGTAAAATATTTGGTCAGTCCATACTACCTGTGTAATCACTGGTTCTTCATCTAAGTTGTCATCCATTTGCTGTGTAGGGTCCTCTTCTTGTGGTTCTTTCATAGTTTTCCTCAGGCTGTAGTTTGGGCCTTATTCCTGACTTCCTTAGCTGGCAGCCTGCTCTGTTGTGGCCTTGATCCCCACAGTAGCTACAAGTCATTTGCATTCCATGCTTTGACATTTTTATTCCACTAGTTCCTTCTAATTCCACTAGTTCTTTCCTTCTATTCTTAGGAGGTCTGCCCACCTTCTTTTCGTACAGAGGAGAAAGCACAATAGGAACTCCTTGGACCTTCTCCCGAATGGACTTGTCAGCACATGGATAGATCTTGGGACCATATGCAATCAGAAATCTTGCTGAAGTATAGCAGTCATGGACCATTGTTTCAGTGGGTATCCTTTCATGCCTTAGGCAAGAAATGACATGTGAACAAGGTATACCAGTGAGATCCCACCTTCTACAGTCACATTGTTTCAGCCCAATGTTAACTACTAACCGATACTCCCTTTCCTACACCTAAAATATACCATGTCTAGAAGGTGCTGCAAAACAAGTGTTGGCAAACTCTGAATTCTTTTGAACTTTCTTCCTAATCTTCGGGCAGATTGGTCCCTGCCACACTTCTCCAACCTCTTTCTCCTTGCTGTAGTACCTACTCATCAGTTGGCCCTTGATGTGCTCCAACATACTAAGAATTGGCATTTCTCTAGCATCCAAGATATAGTTGTTGAAAACCTCATAGCTATTGTTCAAAAGTATGTCACGCTTGTTGTAAGTGCTAAAAAATGCCCTCACCCAAGTGTTTGGAGCCCATCCTTTCTAGCCACTCATATGCCTTCTGGTTTAGTGCCCTCATTTTGTCCATGTTTCTATTCCATTGATCCACAGTGGTGGACCTAGCACATTTTCATAGTTGTATCTTTAGGTTCTCACCTTTGAAGTGCTGTTGGAAGTTGTTGTACAAATGTCTAACATAGTGTCGGTGCAGAAAGCGATCAACACGTAAATATTTATAGTTTTGCTGTATGTTGTGATCGGAGGTGGCCTAGCACTCAATGACACAAGGTTTATACTGGTTCAGGCAACGTGCCCTACATCCAGTTTGAGTCGGTCGGTGATTTTATTCCTGAGCCCAGGTGCTCGAAGTTTGCTGTGGGGTTACAAACAGAAGGGAGAAAGATGGGGGGTACAAGAGGTCCAGTCGGACTCTGGTCTGAAGGGCCGAGAGTGATGGGAGCTCCGCTATGTGCTAAGTGTTCGAGCATGTGCTCGAGGTTTGAACCTAGTGGTTCTGTTGTGGTGTGTGAGTGAACTGAGGAGATCTATCTGTTGGGAGATAGCGCATCCCCTTTTATAGATGAAGGGAATGTCCTTACAAGTGAGAGAGAGAGTGTGTGTGTACGTATGCTAAGTCTTGTTGCTCACGCCATCGGGTACAAGATGATTGTAGACGCCCATAACACTATTAATGTCAGATGCACATGGGAGATTGCGTCGTCTTCTTCTGGTATGGCAGACGTCGGTGCCTACCATACTATTGATGCCCAGAGGCATGCAAGGGGTTTTACCGTGCTCGTCCAGTATGGGAGTGTTGCGGGCGCCCATAACACTATAGGGCAAATGTCGGCGCCCACAACACTGCTTGGGTTCTGACATGCCTGGAAGGTTGCAGGGCACTCTTCTGACATGTCCTGTCGGTACTGTCCTGTAGGTGTACAGGGTATGGTCCTCGGTTTTGCAGTTGACTTGAGTGCCCTGCCTTACTTGCTTCGTTCGTTTCTTGGTCCTTACCGAGTGGGCATCCCCGATCGGTTGGTCCTAGTTGGCTCCGACTGTGCCAGTCAGCAAAGAGCTGTAAGCAAGGGTTTGGTGCGTCCCCGGTCAGAGATGCAGTTCGGAGTTAGGAAGCGATGTTTGGCCAGGCCTTCCGGTCGGAGAGGTAGGCTGGAGTCAGAAGCGAGCGCTGTTCCTCCTTTACGAGACCTTCCAGTCGGAGATTGGATCGCCCTTCTGGCCTATCGTTTTAGGTGTTTGGGCCGGCCTAGGAGTTTGCGTGACGTTCGCAATGTCGTCTGCTGAGCCAGGCCTTTGCTGGGAAGCTGGTCCATGAGGGACCCCGGGTTTATGAACCCGACAGGAGCCCTCGAGCCTCCGGGCGATTCGGGTAGAATCATCTGGGGGATTTTTGTCTTTACGGCGGGTGCACGCGAGCGCACCCACGGGTGTAGCCCCCCGAGCCTCCGGGTGATTCGGGCAGAATCGTCTGGGGAGGTTTGTTTCGTTAGCTAGCGGGTGCGCACAAGCGCACCCACGGGTGTAGCCCCCGAGCCCCCGGGTGATTCGGGCAGAATCGCCTGGGGGTTTTGTCAGCGGACAGTTTTAGGGATCGGGCGAGACGGAGCTCGTGGATCCTAGAGCGTCGAGGCGCTTTTGGGGGATCGAGCGAGGCGAGCGTCCGGCGTCGAGCGCAAAGATCGGCGAGCGAAGCTCGCGATCTCAAGCGTCGGCGCAAAAGGGTCGTTTTAGGATCTAGCGAGGCGCTCGTGGATCATCAGCGCAGCCGAGGCGCTTTTTAGGATCGGCGCGAGATGGAGCTCGCGGATCTCAAGGTCGGGCGCAATGCGCAGGATCGAGGTGGTTTTAGGGATCTAGTGCAGCGAGACACTTTAGGGATCGGGCGAGGCAGAGCTCGTGGATCTCGGCATCGAGCGCAGGATCGGGCAAGACAGGGCTCAGGATCGTGATGCTTTTTAGGATCGGGCGAGATGGAGCTCGTAGATCCTGGCGTCGGGCGCACCGAGGTAGTTTTGGGATCGGGCGAGACGGAGTTAGGCGTAGCCGAGACAGTTTAGGGATCGGGCGAGACGGAGCTCATGGATCCTGGCATCGGATGTGCCGAGGCAGTTTAGGGATCATGCAAGATGGAGTCACAGATCCTGGTGCCGAGGCAGTTTAGGGATCGGACGAGATGGAGTCGCAGATCCTGGCGTCGGACGTGCCGAGGCAGTTTAGGGATTGGGCGAGACGGAGTCACGGATCCTGGCGTTGGACGTACCGAGGCGTTTT